AGAAAAGGGTGCTTGGGATGGAGTGTTTGATGATGAGGGAAGACTGACAGACAGCAGGGGCAGAAGACAAACAGCCATGACCCTCACCAGATGGCTGCCAGGCCTCACTCTTGCAATGAGGCTGAACCAAGTTTCCAAGCCAACCAGCCACGCCCAGGTGTCCTTGGAGAGGGACTCTCCTCTCTGCCTCTGCCAGGGCCAAGGGATGTGAACGGTCTCAGATAAGGAGGGACCTAAGGGGGTAAGGAACACACAGCCCGACCTCATCGCCTGTGGACGCCCACAGCTGAGAACATTTATTTTCTGCCCCAGGGCTCTGTGCGGGGCCAGAGAGAAGATAAGATTAGGAGACAGGTGGACTTCCCCAGAGAGGCAAGTGGGGCGGCCGGGGGAAGGGCCATATCCTCTGGGTCCGGTAGGGAATAAGCCAGGGACATGCAGGCCCGCCATGGGCCTGGTGGCCCTGCTGCTGGACTAGAGAAGATGGCAGAGCACCTCAGAACCTGACGTGGGAGCCCTCCTTCACAGAGGACATGAAGGTGGCCTTCAGAGGCCTTGGGGGCCGCTCGAGGGAGGAGACAATGTGCTTGGGGGTTGCTGACCTCTGCAGGGTGGACTTGGACACCGGGGATGGGACTGAGGGGGTGGAATGGGCCGTGGAGGCCGACTGGGGCCGCAGCAAGAAAGAGAACTGGGGCCTCAGGAAGGCAGGCAAGCTGGAGTCCAGCAGCTTGGAGGCTGAGGCGGTGACAGATAACAAGGAAGATGGGGAGGAGGTGGCTGCAGGCGTGCTGTCCATGGTATCCAGCACAGCCTGCTCCCTGCTGGGCACCAGGTCCTTCTGGACATCGCGGGCTACCAGGCGGATGTGCTGGTCCTGCTGGTCTGGGCCCCTGCTGGTCAGGAAGTCGGGCTGCTGGGTGGGCATCAGATCATTGAAGTGCAGGCTTTGGTAGACCTGAGGCGAGATCTGCAGGGAACAGAGTGGGGAGCGGGAACGGGGCACCAGGTGGAGCCAGGGACACCCAGGATCAGGTGCCCTGAGGTCTTCCCATGCCAAGAAGGCATGTCCAGAGGACCGTGGTTGCCACTAACCACCGTTGTCTGCAGACCCATGCAACCACCCTGCACCAGGCCAGGCACCCAGCCCTGCTCTCCACCCAATTATGCTGCTTCTGACGACCCTGTGAGCTGGCGAGGAGACTGTCCGCTACTGCGAATGAGGCCTCGAGCTGGACGCTGGGTGAGGCCCAGGTGCAAAGAGCTCCTTGGAACAATCCATCTCACACCAGCCTCTCCCCAGCCCGGGACAGGGGGGCCCTGCAGAGACATGGCCTTCAGTGTTATCTCCCATGGCAGATAAGGACAGGGAGGCTGGGAGAGGCTGGGATCTCAAATCTGGAGCTCTAATCTGCTCTTTCGAACATCCCCTGCTCCTTTCTGTCCCCAGTGGAGAGCCACTCCTTCCATTTACCCTGTCTCTTACTACGGGCCTGGCACGACACCCTGGTCTGCTGTTTGAGCACCACGGTAGTGGGGACACAGGTGGGAAATATGCTAACCAGCAAATGGACAGCCACAGACCATAGGAAATGCTTGGAGGCTATAGACAGGGGCCCTGCCCAAGGGGGACCTTGTCCCACAGGCCCTTGAGGCTTGTTCTCAAGGACAAAAGCTGCGCCAGTGACCTCAGCCAGGGCTTTGGCAAACAAACCAGACACATCAGTCTCATCCCAGAACTGTCTATGGCCCAGAATCCTGTTAAAGGACAAATGCTCCCGTCCACCCCCACTGAAGGGCTGTGTGGGCACAAGGGTGGCTGCCGGTGGACATGGGATTCCCTGGCCCCTGACCCAGCCTCCTGGGGAGCCGCCCCATCCCGCCTCACCTGCTGCTTCATCCAGCCGTACGGCACCCTCATGGACAGGAACCTGGTATTCCGCAAGCGTTCCCTGGGCTTATACGCCGCTCCCAAGACTTTGCTCACCTGCAGGAGCCACGCCCAAGAGTGAAGCCTGCGAGTTGGGGGTCCCCGCACCCCTCCCTGTGCTCCCCTCCCAGCCTTACCTGCTTGTCCCTGGACTCCCACTTGCTCCAGCTGTCCTCAATGTCTTCCAGGGGGCGCTCTCCGGCCCATGGGGACATCAGGGCCATCTTCTGCAGCCTGGCCCAAGCTTCTGTCTCCTTATCTGCCTTCCCATGCAGGAGGGCCATCAGCGCCGCCTGCTCTCGCCGCTGGTATATCAGGGCCTCAGCCAGATCCCGCTGCTCCCTAGTGTGGGGGGCTTTTCTTCACAAGATGTCCCCCCACCACAAGGCAGGGTGACCCTCCCAGAAACCCTGAAAGGCTCTCCCTTCCTGGGCCTGATCCTTTCCAAACTTCCATCCCTCCCCCAGGGCAAATTCCCAGAGCCCATCACTGAGCAAGTATGGAATTTGCAAATCCTGGATCGATGCAGCTGGCCCAGCAAGTCCTGCCACTCTCCCACCACTCTGTCCTCTCCACCATGCAGACCTGACACCCCGTCTGGCTTTATCTGGACCTCCCCTTGTGGACTATTCAAACATGTCTGCCCCCTGCCCCAGGGAAACCCTGCCTTTGCCTTGTTTGATGTCCCTCCACAGCACTGTGAAGATGTATGCCTTGATGGCAGCACTGGAGCCACAAAGATTCTGTGGATACCTGACAGACTCCTACTTTAAATGTCAAAACCCAACTCCAAAATCACCTCTCCTATGCAGCCTTCCTTACTTGATCCACTCAATCACGTAGATTGTCCTCTGAGCCATCCCTGTTCCTAATACTCTCATTACTTATCACATAAAACTGCAGCCATGAGCCTGCACGTCCACCTCCCCGAGTAAACTGTAGTTCTCTGAAGCAGGACTGTGTCTGGATGTCTTGTATCTCTAGAACCTAGCACAAGGTCTGGCAGTCAGTAGGATCTCAATACACATTTTCTCGAATGAACCAGAATTACTGGAGACTTGGTCAGGAATAAGGATGGAGTGGATGGAGTGGGTAGGAGATGAAACTGCAGGGGGAGGAACAAGTAGCCAGCAGCCTGATGTTCCCTGCAAATCAGGGAAATAACACAAATGTCCACTCAGGATCAGGGCCTTGGGCCTGAGCACTCCTCTGCCAGGGACCTCTGGCCATGCAGCAATGACCTCTGCAGGGAAGTCAGCTCTAGCAAATCTGACTAGGGGACAGTCAGATTTGGGGGACAGGGCCCCATCCAAGCACTTGGGTTTTTGTATTTTCCCCTTTCACCACTCAACCTTTCAGCTGAGCTGGGCTAAAACAGGGCCTGGGCTCTCCAGCCATAGCTGCCACTGTGGACTAGAGTTGCCTACAACTCTCAAGCCTCTGGCCTTCTGAGGGTCCTCCTCACCCATGTCTAGCTCTACCCAACCCAGGCAGAGGCTTCCTGGGACCTGGGAAGACTCACAGCCTCTCCCTCCTCAGGCCAGAGAAGATCAAGCAGGCTGTGCTCACTCACTGCAGTTCCAGATGGAAGGCCTTCTGGGTGGTGCCAGTGGAGCTGCCCTCTTCCTCTAAGCTTGCTCTGTTTTCATGAGGACCATCACGGGCATCCTGTAGTCTTTTCCACACACTCAGGCCAAATGTTCCTGTGATTTGACCAGACACTGCTCAGAACCACAACTGGCATACTCCCCTCCTCCAAGCCCTCTGCCCCTTATCCTCCACCTTCAGGGGTCAGCTAGCAACCCCTACCCTCAGCCCCCACACCCACTCAAATGTTGAGTGCCCACCATATGCCAAGCATGACACTGAGTACTCCACAAATATGTGGAGGAGCCAGACAGAAGCCCTAGGACACACTCGGAGCTCAGGCCTAAAGCATCCTGCCCCACATGTGAACTGAGATGGGGAGAGTACTATGGCAGTGACAGAATGATCCTCAGCTGGGCTTCAGGTAGCTTGTGTGTAAAATGGCAATGGCATAAAATGGTCAGACACCCATCAGATATGAGATTGGGGGTGGTGGAGGAAGGAATGGGGCTGGAGTAAAAAGTAGATAGTGAAAACAGAATTAAGTCCTGCTCCTGGGCAGAGAATAGTGAGTAGCAGGCCATTCTCCTGCTGCAGGATTTTTAAAGTTAAGAAAAATAAAACAGATAGGTACAAAATCATTAAAAACAAAAAAAAATCACTGGAGAGCAATAGAAGCAGAGGGCCAGGTGAACTAAAATGACAGAAAGGGACAAGTTTTTCCAAGAAAAGCTCGGAGTAGGAGCTGCTTTCTTTCTCGGGGGCACTCCTGAGTCTACACACAGGCTTAATGAGAATCAGACTTGGCTTAGAGAGACAGAGACCAGCAGAGCTTCTGACATCCACTGTGGCTGGCATGATTAAAAAATCTCGCCTGAATGCACAGCTGTTTTTCTTGTTAGGACATTTGCCGAGCACCAGGGAGGCTGGGGTTGTAGGTGCTGGTATAGAAAAGCAGAATGAGATCATTGGGAAACAGAGTCCCACTGAAGGAGGAGCCTGAAACAGACACAGATTTCATCCTTGAGACAACTGAACACAGAGGCAAACTGAGTCCTCCTAAAGCTGCTACTCAGCCCCAACCCAGTTCAATCCCCAACTTGATGGAGATGCTCAGCCCTATACAGAGGAAAGAGCAAATGCTCTGGGGGAAATAATATCAACTAAAGTCGGCAGTGAGCCGAGATTGCGCCACTGCACTCCAGCCTGGCGACAGAGCGAGACTCCGTCTCAAAATAATAATAATAATAATAATAATAATAATAATAATAATGTTTATTTTGTTTATGAATGGAGTGATCTATAAATGTCAATTAAGTAAAATTGTTTGATAGTGTTATTCAAGTATTCTATATCATTAATGATTTTCTGTAGAGTTGTTTTATAAATTATTGAAAGAGTATTGAAATATCATGCTATAATCATAGATTATTAAAATTTAAAATAATAACAGATCAAACACCAAATGTTAATGAAGACGCAGAGGTAGAAATGCAAAACAGTTTGGTCATTTCTCATAAAGTTTCAATACACTTAACCATACAACCCAGTCGTTCTGCTTCTAAATACTTACCCAACAGAAATGAAAACAATGTTTAAAACAGCTTCATTCATAATCACCCAAAACTGACAATGACCCAAATGTCCTATAACTGGTGAATGGATTAACAAACTATGACAGAGCCATACAGTGGAATAATACTCAGCAATAAAAAGAACAAACTACTGAAACATTCAACAACACAGATGAATCTAAAATTGATTATGCTAAGTGAAAGTTAGAATTTCACTCAGCTACATGTGTATGTTTCCATTTATGATAATCTGGAAAAGGCAAAACTATAGAGACAAAACAGATCAATGGCTGCCAGGGGTTAGGAGAAGGAAATAGAGTTTATTTTGAGGAGGCATGAGGTCGCTTTTTGGGGTAATGTCTATATCTTGATTGTGATACCAATTACACAATTCTATGCATTCATGAAACCTCATAGAACTATATACTTTTAAAACGTGCTTTTATTGGATGTAAATTACACTTCAAAAATCTGATTTTTAAAACAATCAAGCTTCTAAAAAAAACACTAGATACTATATTTAGGGGATAGTCAAAGACGTCTTTGAAAGATACAAAAAATGGGTGACATCAGCAAGATGGTAGAATAGGAAGATCCAGCACCTCCTTCCCCTTATGGAGACACTGACTGAACAACAGTACATGGACCAGAAACCAGGACCATTCATCCCAGATGAATGCAAAGCAAACAAACACACACACACACACACACACACCAGCTGCACTGAAGCCAGTAGGAAAATTCATGGTGCTCACTTGTAATCCCTCCTCCTGGCTCAGTGAAGCAGATTGGGAAGGAACCCCCAGCTTCCAGCTTCTCCCTGGGAGGGAAAGACTGAGATGTACATCTAACATGCAGACTTTTCAGAGGGCTGCATGATGAACCAGTTTCTGTCTTGCCTGAATCTAAGCACTGACAGGAAGGGGCACCAGACTGGGCTACTAAGAGCAAAGGTGACAATTTAGACTAGCATACACTCACTATCAGAGTCCCTCCTGCCGCTCTGAGGAATGAGTAGGGAAAATAACCCAACTTCCAGCTTCTCCCTGAGGAAGAAGATTTGGAGCATATATATCCAGTGTTAGCCTCTGTTAGCCTTTGAGGGGTACCCAAGAGACTGGTTTCTGTCTTGCCTCTCTCAGACTATTGAAGGACCTAGCATATTCTAGAGGCCTGGGGGAAGCTTGTAGCAGCTCTAGAGAACTTGCAGTACTCCAAACAGACACCAGAGGGAGCAAGAGATAATGGACTCCTAAAAAAAATAAACTTATGCATGTAAATTGCAAATTTACTGCCGCTAAAGAAATTGAGGTATATGAATTATTTGACAAAGAATTCTAAGTAACCATGATAAAAATGCTCAACAAGCTCAGAAACAATACATGAACAAAATGAGAATACTAGTGAGGACCCAGAAAATATAGAAAAGAACCAAACAGAGGCTAGCCATGGTGGCCCACAACTATAATCCCAACACTTTGGGAAGCTTAGGCGGGCGGATCACTTGAGCTCAGGAATTCAAGGCCAGCCTGGGCAACATGGTGAAACCCTGTCTCTACAAACAATACAAAAAATTAGCCAGGCGTGATGGCATGCACCTGTAGTCCCAGCTACTCAGGAGGCTGAGGTGGGAAGATCACTTGAGGCTGGGAGGTCAAGGCTTCAGTGAGCTGAATTCGTGCCACTGCACTCAAGCCTGGGTGGCAGAGCAAGACCCCATCTCGAAGAAAGAAAAAAAAAATTCTAGAGCCAAAGATGAAAAATAAAATAATTGAATTCAAAGGTCATCTACAGTAGACTTGATCAAGCAGAAGGAAAAATCAGCAGACTTGAAGATATCCAGTCAAAGAAGCAAAAAGAAAAAAGAATTTTAAAGAGTAAAGAAAGCCTAAGGGATTTATGAGACATCGTCAAATGGACAATATATGCATTATGGTAGTACCAGAAGGAGGAGAGAGAGAGAGAGAAAGGGACAAAAAGCTTATTTTAGTAAATAATGGCTGAAAATGTTTCAAATCTTAAAAAGGAAAAGAAACCTATATTTAAGAAGCTCAAGGGATTCCAACTAGGATAAAGTCAAAGTAATCCACAAGGAGACACATTATAAAAAGAACAAAAACTCGGCCAAGTGCAGTGCTGTAATCCCAGCACTTTGGGAGGCTGAGGCAGGCAGATCACAAGGTCAGGAGATCAAGACCATCCTGGCGAACACGGTGAAACCCCATCTCTACTACAAATACAAAAAATTAGCCGGGCGTGGTGGTGGGTGCCTGTAGGCCCAGCTAGTCAGGAGGCTGAGGCAGGAGAATGGCATGAATCCAGGAGGTGGAGCTTGCAGTAAGCCGAGATCACACCACTGCATTCCAGCCTAGGTGACACAGTGAGACTCTGTCACAAATAAATAAATAAATAAATAAATAATAAAAATAAAAAATAAAAAATAACAAAAACAAAAAAATCTCATCCAAAAATACTATATCCAGGAAAGTTGTCCTTTAAAAATGAAGGAAATATAAAACTTTTCCCAGATAAATAAAAACAAGAGGAGTTCATCACCATTAGATCTGCCTTTAAATAAATGCTAAAGGGACCCCTTCAAGTTGAAACAAAAGAATGCTAGGCAGGAACACGAAAGCATATGAAAATAAAAAACTTTCTCATAAATGTACATAGAAAAATACAGAATGCTGTAATACTGTAATGGTGGTACATAAGTCACTTTTAATTCTTTTTGTTTTTTTTTTTTTTGAGATGGAGTCTCACTCTGTTGCCCAGGCTGGAGTGCAATGGCATGATCTCGGCTCACTGCAACCTCTGCCTACCAGGTTCAAATGATTCTCCTGCCTCAGCCTCTCAAGTAGCTGGGATTACAGGAATACACCACCATGCCCGGCTAATTTTTGTATTTTTAGTAGAGACAGGGCACTACAAAAAAAAAAAAAAAAAGGAAGACAGCCCAGGAAGAAAAGGGGACAAAAAAGTGTTGGGATTAGAGGAGTGAGCCATCACACCTGGCCCTAATTGTTTCTTGACATGAACGGTGGCTATGTGGGGATGTGTTTACTTTGTCAAAATTCACCAAGCTGAACCGTTCGAGTTTGTATGGGGGTTTTTTTATATATACAATGCAACAATTAAGTTTATTTTTTAAAAGAGAAAGGAATATGCCTTATCAGATATATGATTTGCAAAATATACATAGGTGAATAATATTGGATGAATGGGTGAATAGATGGAAGGACCATTTGCTGAACGGACAATTGGGCAGACTGTAATATTATTTAAGCAAAGGCATTTGCTGTGGCCTGAGAGTCCCTCCCCACAGAGTACAAAGTTCATACCAGCTTATGTTCAGACAGGGACAGAGAAAAGGGCGGCCATGGGCATGGCTGAGCTTCAGCAGGACCCATACCAATGGCATCACCGGAGAGTTTCCAAGCCTTGACGTCCCGGTCCTGGCCAGCGCTGATAACCAACTGGAAGTTGTCCACATACAGGATGTCTGCCACACTATCCAAATGGCCCTTCCAGGTAATCAGGAGCGTGGGGGGAACCAGGGAAATGGTATGGCCAGCCACAACCTATAGGGGACAGTACAGGAGAAACACTTATACCAAGACCACTACACAGGCTAATCAGAAGACACCTAAGACTGCAGGCAGCAGAGCCCAGCTGGAAGGGCCCTGGGACACTGGCTGGGGTTCTAGTTTTAGATGTGTTCCACATGAACTTACTTGTGACCTTACATAGGTCCCGACACTTCTCTGGCCCTCAGTGGCCCCTTAGGTAAAACCATAAAAAGCACTTGCATATGACCACATTGTTTACCAAGTGCCTGTATACACATTATTCCATTTGAACCTCATAACCTTATAGGAAATATATAATTCTCACTGACTTACAGAGGGGAAAAGTGAGAGTCAGACATGTTCAATACTAGACTAAGCCCACATAGCTAGAAAGTGATGGGGCCAGGGCAAGAGCCTCAGTCTTCTAAAGTTTTTTAGTTGGGCATTGGGAGATGAATAGAGTGAGCAATGGGGTGATAAATCACATTACACTGAGAGAATAAAACTACTGAACTGGAAAATTAGTGAAAATGACCATTTTTAAATAAAACAAGATTAATAAAGGGGGACTTATTCGACCATATTCAAGTATGGAAAGTCAGAAAAATAAACTTTAAATTTTAAGCAAAGCAATGGAAGACAATAGAAAGCTCAGAAACCAGCCAGAATGTACGTAAAACTTTGGTATATAGTAAGAGTGGTAACAGAAAACATGACTCAATAAACAGTAGTGGGATACCTGATGAACTATAAGAGAAACCTATGTTGTTATCTTTTATCCTACAACAAAATAAATACTAGATGCATTGAAGATTTTGTTTTCAATGAAATCATAAAACACCTACAAAAGAATGAATCAATGTTTATCTTTTCTCTAAGAAAGTGATAGGCAAATGAAAATATCACAATGGGAACAAAAACAGACTTGAACACCAAAAAATACATTGTAATTTTTAAATCATCATAAATAAAATTAACAAGCAAGTGACAAATTTGGGGGGATATTTATAATCCATATGATAGACAATGAGTTAATCTTTTCATATATTTTTATTGTTTTTTTTTTTTTAAGAGATGGGGTCTCACTATATTGCCCAGGCTGGTCTCGAACTCTTAGGCTCAAGTGATCCGTCCACCTTGGCCTCCCAGAGAGCTGGGATTACAGGCATGATCCACCATGCCCAGCCTAATATATTTTTAACTAATTATACAACATTTATAAAAGATAGTTACCACAATAGAAAAGTAGGCAAAGCACATGAAGAGACAATTCACAAAGTTATACAAAGCCAATAGAATAAGAAAAGATGTCAATATCACTAATAAACAAAGGCATCTTAATTAAAATCAAAAGAAACCATTTGCACCTAAAAATCAACCAAAAATGTTTTGCTCACTTAGGACATTTATTTATTGAATGTCTTCTATAAGAAAGACGCTCTGATAGATCTAGAGGATCCTCAGACGAATACTACTAATAAATTCTTTAGGTTGTCAAAGATAAAACAAAACAGGCTAATGAAATGCAAAACTGTATAAACCTTCTGGAGTGCAATTTTGTAGCATACATGAAAGGCCTTAAAATGGCTTACGTTCTTTTACATACTCTTCCCTTGGGACAAATTACTAGATGTGCAAATAAACAACTATAAACAAAAAAAAAAAAAGGTTTGTGAAAAAGAATATTTGTACCATCATTTTTACAGATATCTAAACACAACTATATTGAACATAATTCACATATAATTTACCAATTTAAAGTGCTCATTCAATAGTTTTTGGTATATTCAGAGTTGTGCAACCACCACCACATTCTATTTTAGACCATTTCATCACCCCAGAAAGAAACTCTTTACCCAGTAGTCACCAGCCAATTCCCCCAACTCCCTCCCCCAGCCTCAGGAAACCACTAATCTACTTTCTAACTCTATAGAAAGTATAATGTGGACATTCTGGACATGTCATTTAAGCGGAATCACACAATATGTGGTATTTTGTGGTTGGCTTCTTTCACTTAGCATAGTATTTTCAAGGTTCATCCATGTTGTTGCATGCATCAGTACTTTATTCTTTATTATTAAATAACATTCCATTGTATCACTATACCACACTTTATCCATTTGGAAGTTGACATTTGGGTTGTTTCCACTTCTGTATTATGATAAATAATGCTACTATAAACATTCATGTACAAGATTTTATGTGAACATGTTTTCATCTCTCTTGGGTATACACTTGGGAGTGGAACTGTTTGATCATATGGTAACTCTACACTTAATTTTTGAGGAACTGCCAGACTGTTCTCCAAAGTGACTGCAGCGTTCTACTTTTTTTTTTTTTTTTTAAACGGAATTTGGAGTTTTGCTCTTGTTGCCCAGACTGGAGTGCAATATCGTGATCTCTGCTCACTGCAACCTCCACCTCCCAGGTTCAAGTGATTCTCCTGCCTCAGCCTCCCGAGTAGCTGGGATTACAGGCACCTGTCACCATGCCCTACTAATTTTTGTATTGTTAGTAGAGACGGGGTTCCACCATGTTGGCTAGGCTGGTCTCAAACTCCTGACCTCATGATCCACCCGCCTCAGCCTCCCAAAGTGCTGGGATTACAGGCGTGAGCCACCGTGCCTGGCCAGCTTTCTACATTCTATCCAGCAATGTGTAAGAGTCCCAGTTTGTCCACATCCCAGCCAACCATTGCTATTATCTATAGTTATCCTGGCAAGTGTAAAGTGGGATCCCATTATAGTTTTGATATGCATTTCCCTGATAGCTAATGATGTTTAGCACCATTTAATATACTTATTAGCCATTTGTACACCTTCTTTGAAGAAATGTTTATTTAGATCCTTTACCCATATTTTAATTTGGTTATTTATCTTTTTCATCAAGTTGCAAGAGTTCTTTATATATTCTGGGCACTAGTCCCTTATCAGATACATGATTTGCAAGTATTTTCTCTAAGGTTATCTTTTCACTTTCTTGATGGTATCCTTTACAGTCCAAAAGCTTTTAATTTTGACAAAGTCCAATTTATCTGTTTTTGTCTTTTGTAGCTTGTTTTTGCTGTCATATCTAAGATACACTGTCTAAGGTCACAAATATTTTGCACTTATTTTTTATTTTCTTCTAAAAGTCTTACAATTTTAGCTCTTACATTTAGGTCTATGATC